ATTAGTGGAAATGTAGAGGATCTGTAACAAAACATTAAACATTAGAATTTTGTATTTAAAAGTAAAGCAAAATCTTGAGTTGGAGATAATGAAAGATTCTTACATTCTGAGCTTTAGAGCCACCGTTGAATCCCCCCCCCCCCCAAAAAAAAAAGAAGCAGAAAAATTGATGCTGTGAAGCGTCTGTAAAAAACATTAAACATTATATCTTGTTGTTAAATTTGACAAATTGAGTAAATTTAAGTACAATATATGAAACTACTTACGATCTTGATCTCGTAGAGAGGCCTTATCCTCTTGAGCACTGACTCTAATACCGAAAACGAATATTGAACAAGAAAGAATACAAAAAGACAAATAAAGGACAATCAATGCGCGCGTTTAAGTGACGAATGTCTGACTCTAACTTCGCGAATTATAATTGAAATGAATTAATAATGAAATTTAACCCGAGCCATTTTGCTCAGAGAAATATAAAAACACTGCGCAACAAACACTGACTCTACCGACCGCATTGCTCACGGTTACAAAAGTTTTCTGAAAATAAAGCTGATTAGTAGGGAGATGGCGAAGGATACGTTCATTTAGAAAATACTGCTACTTTTTTACAACATGATTTAAAAGAAATTAAAGATATTAATTGTGAATTTTAAAGTTCTTGGTACTGAATACAGTAAATAAGAGACAATTACTGTATTTTGAAATTGTATTCTGAATGTGAATATTAGAGTAGGAAGTATGCACATTAATAACATATCACGTCGCATGTTATAAATATTCGAAAATGTTTGCACAAATTTTCACAGTTAAATATACTTAAAAAGCAAAAAGTCACGAAAAAAGCGTGCAAAATCTTGCTTTGAATCATTTCAATTCCGCGTCAACGTTCGGAAAAAGCAAGTACAGTATAATAAAGTATATATAGTATAATGAAGTACAAAAACTTTAAATTTGATCATCTAAAAATTGACAGTATATCATTCAGCTGATCTAAATGAAATATTAATTGATTTAATCTTTCTTATTTTCATCATTGTATTTCAAACAATTACGAAATTACGTACTGTGAATTATATATCAAATACATATGAACTATATACCAAATTTTATCCAAAATAAATAAGACGTTACCAAATTTCCATAAAAGTTCATCAAATTGTTCATCGAGATCAAGATCGAGACATCTATGCGTTCTATGCTATTTCTGCAATCAAGAAATTACCTGTACAAAAAAAAAAAACCAGAGTCAGAACAAATGGAAATATATAATAAAGAAACGATAATCAACTTCTATTAAAAATAACCGTACGAATGCAATTGAAGAAAAATTGATGCGAAACGTTTCAATGCACTACATGATTTGTTATCGTAATGCTCAATGAATCGTTAAACACACGCGTATTAATTAAATGATGTTATTAATGAGGTATAAATGGAAGTAAAAGATTGTCGAAGAACTGACGCCATCGAAAAGACGCCACCGATAGGTTAGAAAATGTTACGAATCTAACGTGGCGAATTTCGATCACCGAATGACTCTCCGCGACATGTCTCGCCTCGCAATGGTTAAATAATAAATATGTGGTGTGTCTTACACACAC